GTCCTGTGCAGGACCAGGAAATGGACTCAATGATCCTTGTGGGTCCTTCCAACTCAGAATATTCTGTGATTCTATGAATGCACACCAAAACCATTTCTCGATACTAAGTAACGAAAAGACCTCTAAGACAGACCAACAGTTACATCTGTAATGAGCCATAAGAGAAGGACCAGAGTCAATCCAAGATATTCACGAGAGATTCTTGCCTGTTAAATGAAATAGTGATTTTGAGCCGGTGACAGAGGAGAAGCAGAGAGCATGTTTAGCACAATAGCTTGTAATTCCTTCTATTTGTTAATTACTTCCGAGTTTGTACCTCTCTCAAGCAGATATTTGTTTACTTCTCTAAAGTAAAGCTTGTATTTAAAAACAAGCTTTATAAATATATGCTCTTTCACACTCTAGGCAGGCAGGATATTTTGATATTATGCCCAATAGCTTCAGGGAGGTTTATTCACATGTTATTTTTGTGAGTATTGAAAGCTTATATGAAAAACGCTTCTCTTAATGTTTACCTCATTGTTTTGTACTTCAAAGCATGTCTAGCTGTTTCCAAACATTCTACTGGGAACTGTCCAACTCTCCAGATACTATGTTTTCTTCACTCCAGATTTTCTCATCAAAACACTGAACAAGTTTAAAGAGTCAGAAATCACCTATTCGAGAACCTGCCTCTGTTCTAGTCCCAACCTTGCCTTATTTTTATTTGGAGGACAGTGGTAGGACATGGGAATTTCAGAATTCCATAGTGGAACCTGGCACACACCTGTTCTTGTTTTACTTGTTAGTTCTTTTTTTAAACAAAGACTGGTTTAGGCATTATTGATTGAGATTTGCAAAAAATTCTCAAGATTTCGGATGCTTTCTGTTGGCTAGCACCTCAATCAAAATCAGATCTATTCTGCAGTTAAGTTTTGCAGACTGCCGAATGTTAAGGTGGACTAAACAGGTTATACTGTCATGAACTACATGTCCTATTTGCAAATCTAAACAGCAGAGCAGAAACAGATGGCTATTCTTAGTTGGACTTTTTTCTCTTCCACTTAAAACCAATTCCAACAGTAGGCCCCACTTGCAGCAGAATGACCAGTGTTCAGGGATAAGAATTCAGAGATGCCTTTAAAGGAGCTGTCAGCCTTGCAGGCTGGCTTTTCCCAGGAGGAAGCAAGTTAAGATACCAGCCTCAAGCTGTACAGATAACAGGTCCTACCATGTAGTCTCTCTCATCCACACTCCAGTCACTAAGGCAACTCCCCAGTTCAGCTAGTCCCTAGCCCCATACTCTGAGTCAGTAACAATATGAGTAACAGAATAGCTTTCATGGTAATAATTAAGTTCAGAGACAGCTCTGAAGTATTACTGTCCAACAGTGAACTGAAGTCCCTTGACATGCTCATTCTCTGTAAGACTGAAGTCATGTCAGGGAGCCACTCTGTCTTTCTCTTGCCAGGACTTCGTAGTACAGAATCATAAAATGGTTTGGTTTGGAAAAGACCTTTAAAGATCATGTAGTCCAATTCCCTGGCCATGTCAGGAACATGTTTCACTTGACCAGACTGCTCAAAGCCCCATCTAGCCTGGCCTTCAGCACTTCCTAATGGGGCATCAACAGCTTCTTCGGGCAACCTGTTCAAGTACAGGACCATGGATTTAGAGCAGGCAACTAGTTTCACTGCACTGTTAATTGGCCCAAGCAGGGCAAAATCACAGACGTGTAGCTGCAGGCCACCATGAAATGCCTCAAAGATATTTCTTCTAGCTCTCTTGGGACCAATACTGGCTCAAGAAACACACTTGCCCCCATCTGGCAAAGTCAGAATCCTGAAGCGTCATTGAAAGAGAACAATATTCGTAGAATCATAGAACATTCTGAGTTGGAAGGGACCCATAAGGATCATTGGGTCAAACTCCTGGCCCTCCGTGAGACAACCTCAAGAATCACATCATGTGCCTGAGAGCACTGTCCAGCTTCTTTGAACTCTGGAGGACTGTGGTTACTTGGCCAGAGATCCAGCCATGATTAAAGTATGGATGATGGCTGACAAGAGAACAGTTTCCTGTCAGTCTATAATCCTCCACCAAAGAAGCTGTATATACAAGTTGCATGTGGAATTAGGAAGAGGCAGGTTCAAAGTAAACAGGAGGAAGTATCTCCTCAAACGTGATAACTTTCTTACCAGGAGACAATCTTGACTGTGCATTCAAAACTGACAGGACAGATATACAGAAGAAAACATATATTCAGTACAAAACACAGAGACTTCATCTCTGAGTTGAGAACTGTGAATAAAGTGAACTGCTAGAGAATAGGGGAATATGCAGAGAAAACTACACCAAAACTCCACTCCCTTACACTCTTGCCCTTGGACCTATATCGACATACTGTCTCTAACAATAGACAGGTTAAAAGAATCTTTGGTCTTGTGCAACATAGCTAATTTTTTTTACACTTTCTCAGGTTCAGGTACCCTACATGAACCAGACAATCCCCAAAGATCCCTTCTGACCTGAATGATTTTGTGATGATTACAGGCAGCATACTAATCTCATCTACCAAACCTAGTGCATCTTACACTCTATTTTCCTACCCAAACAAGAAGACTCAAATACACGGGTTCAACCTGCATCTGATCATCGTATTCTCATCTACACTACTTAGATGTCTCAGCCTCACAGACTGAACATGGAGGGAATGCTGCTGCCAAAGCAGTGAGCAATAATTAGGCACACAGTGAAAGCCATGTACAGCTATTCAGGTCCAAAGCACTGCCAAGGATTTTCCAATTAATATGAAAGCACACAGTTTTACCGAGATGCATACGTCTCACACCGCTATACAGCTAAGCATTTGCATTCCAGCTTTTTCTGGCTGAAGGCAAAACTGTGGTTATCTGATATATTGCTCCCATAAAAGGGCATCATGAAGAACACACGAAGTGCAAGGCAGTTGAGTTAATATTGCTGTTGGAACATCTGAACCTTTTCCTTTGGTGAATTTGGTTATGTAGAATTTGAAGGTATTCATGTGAGTTGTCTTTTATTATTATTAATGATACTAATTCCACTCGAACGTTATAAGCAACTGAATTTGAGAGGCTAAGCCATGTGAAGGCAGCCACAGAGAGACAGTATCTGTCTGTATTGCTACCATTTGCATTATTGATTAGTGAGCAAAACGTTACAAATGAGAAAGCAGCTGTAACCTGGAACCTCACTCAGAGAGCTGTGAGATTTTGCAGAAGGAAACAGTGAATTACTTTGCCCTTCTGTGTTCAAATGCCTGTTGATTTAGTGAAAAAGAGAAAGTTGAGGATAAAACTCGGGGTTTTTTTTACTTAAGTGTATGTATGCTAAGAAGCAAGAAAATAGAAGTATGTGCAACTGAGGATTTACATATCTAAAAGGTAAACGAGATTTTGTTGTCATTGCACACCACTGATGCCTACATTCATGTGACTTTCTCAGGATGCTCTCATATAAAAGTTTTGTATCTTGTCTCTATTCTTATCAAAACCAGCAATGCTGCAGGGTATGCGTTTGGCAGAGGAGACAGGAAAGGGTGTGAGAGAGAAGAACCTCTCATGGATCCTATTTCAAACCTTGATCTCAGTTTTCTCCCCATGGCTGTCACATATTAACACATTGCACACACAGTGAGAAATTGTTCTCCCTCACACCCACAGCAGAAAGGTAGATGGACAGGAACTACAAAAGGTTGCAGATGGGGCAGTCTAGCTCAAGTTTTCTGTGTCCAGATGTCAGGAAGCACTCTTGCCTAACACAGGGGATTGCATGCAGCCCCTGGGGACCTGCAGGAATTACAGTAGCCTCAGGTCCTTCTTTTCCTCCCTGTTCCCAGCTCAGTCTCTATAATGCTCAGCACAGGCAGAAAAGGAATTGGGTTTAAATCACATGTCCACTCCAGCCAATGACAAAAGCCTAGGCAAACTTGTGGCAGGACTAGTGGCTGCCTTGCAATGGCTCTTCCCACATGGACATACAGGTTCTGTAGCTGTAGCACAAACACGTTCTTCAGTGTCCTGTGACCTTCTTTACACCTTGCTCCTCCCTTCTTGGGGACAGTCCAGCGCTCAACAAAAGATGAATACTGGCCATGAGGATAAGTACATGGACAGGTCTTGCTACGCCATCCATCTACCTATTTTCATAAAGCCTGTATGAATGTATCACATTTAGGACTACTTTATGTCTGCAATTGTCTGCAATTTGAATACTTAAAATATTATTAAGCTGACACAGACAGATCATCATCACAAAAATTTGCCTTCCAAATTAGGCTAAAAAGCTCTTTAATCACTTCTTCACTAGGACAGCAATTCATTGTTTTATCAGTAGCAACAGTGACTGTTTTCTCTTCAAACTGAGGTGTTTTTAAAACATTGACAGAAATTATCATGTCTATAATTCAGTCAAATAATTTTTATTACTTGATTATAAAGCTCCACATTTTTAATATTCATCATATTAGCTTCGTTGCACTGGTATCGTAAGGAACAATTTTAACTCCTGGTTGCAGGTCTTACCAGTGTACTGAGGTACAGGCTCAATTTGTTGAAGAAAACAATCCTGCAGGTTCCCCACTTCGGCAAGGGTTCCTCCAGTTACCAGCTTCAGCTCATCTAGTGTATCCTGGGCTCACAAAAAAACCACAGCTCACAGTTGGGGTACAACAATGAAAAAAAATAGGAAATATCAGACAAAGTAAATTATTTTTTTTTAAGAGAGAGATTCCATTTTGTACGCATGTAGGACTTCTACACTGTTCACTTTAGGGTCATCCGTCATCATCTGAAGTGTATAAAATCCCTAATCTTTGCTTTGAAGATTTCCCCATAGCTATGGTTTTATTTTGATTTTTTTTTTTTGTTTAATTCATATGATCTCACATACGAGGAAGTTCACATATTTAGATATCTGTGGCACGTGATTTTTTTTTAAAGTGAATCCAAAGCAGTCTTTTTTCCCCTCCTCTCAAACAGGTATACATTCATGTCAGGAATGTGGGCACCTCAGTTATTCTCCATACAAAAAAGCTTATTTTCAAGCCTGCAATGACACAAAGGGGGCAGACTGTCTTGCATACTTTGGATTAATGATGATGAAAGATGCTGTGGAAGTCAGTGTTTGTCCTGGACTGCTGATAGGGAGATGACAGGAAGCTGTGCCAACTCCTGGTTGGTAGACAGAAGAAGAAAAGCTGTTGTAGTCAAACAGATGAGGATTGCACTCTGGTACCCTGAGAGTACGCCCTTTCTTTTGTCTTTTTAGTCCCTGTGGCTTATTATGAAGAGGAAACCCCCATACTCAGTCAAGCATTGCTCATACTGAACAGTTGATGAAGATCTGCCCTTACTGTACCAGCTAAGTCTTGCAAAAAGTCCAGTCCCCAAAAAACACCTATACAGAAGTGAAGGATGCACTAATTTTTTGTTTTTCACTTAAAAAGCTAAAAACTGTGTTTAAAACAAATAGCATAATTATTACGGGGTTCATGTAAGCTAAGATTTCACCTGTTCCACAGAAGTTATATTTACATTTATTTCACAACTTAATAGTCAAGTATTACTGTACAGAGCTTGGCTGCTGCAAGGGCTGAGGTCTGAATTCAGCGATCCAGAGGATTGCTGGTGACCCCTCAAAGTGTTCAGCCTGTTCCTGGTTTTCGTGCTCACCTGTGGTTTCTCCTGGAAAATGCGCAACTCAACTGTCACCGACTTCTGAGACAGCATTGAAAATGGTTTTGGCAGGTCCTCAATGGCACCTACTTGCAGGCAGTCCAGATACAACTCTATCGTGCTCAATCCCTGCTGCAGACCACTCAGCCACAAGATGACAGCATGGGGCTTCCCATCAGCCAGCTGGATGTTGCTAAAGATCACGGAATTCAGCCTTCCATTACTCTTCAGATAGCGCAGCACCACTAGGACAAAATACATAGAAGGACTGTCAGAGGGTAACAGACATCCAAGGCTGATCAAGAAAGATCCTGTGGAAATCTGCAATCGCCCTGGTATTTTACCAAATGTCAGCTTTTGTAAATGCATCCCATACGCAGACATAATAATAATGTAATAATAAATGAGACATCAACTCAGAGCAGCACTACCAGGACTCTTGCATGACACTCTAGTCGTAAAGCATTGCTCCCTGCACAGTGTTTTCCATTTCTTTGTCCTGGCCTCTTTAACTAGCTTAACCAGTGTCACTTTACAGAGCATAATGTGCCAAAATACAAGAGGTAAAGTTACAGGGTGTAGCAGGTAGCCTGCAGTCAGCACTTTGGCATGTATATATCTTAAAGACCTAGAAGTACTCTGTAGCAGAAATGTATAACAAGAAAACATCAGTTTCAGTGATGCATACAGCAGTCAGTGAAGCCATCTAACAGTGTATCCAAATGCATAATTAAAGAAAGCAAAGGAAGCATGATCCCAAGCCAATAACCTGTTCTTCTCCATAACAAATAGTTAGCAAAAACAAATAAAATATCATGCAGGGGTCCTTAGAGAATGGATTTCAGGTCCTGTGATGTTCCTCATATTGAGAAGGTTTTTATGCAAAAGCTAACATTTTGTAGGTTTTAGTTCAAACTAGTGGGATTATTCCTAGAACATGACATAGCCAGTCCTTGATGTGGGAATGTGCCTAGATCTCTGGATGGCTTGGTTGAGGTCGTATGGGAGAAGACACAAAAATTTATGTACTTCACACATTCATAATATGTCAAAAATTCCTACATGCATAGTATGTCTAATGTGCAAAATAATGTAATGCAAAGTAATACATACCATAGAGTATAAATTAGTAAAAACAAATAAAATAACAAAAAAAATATCATGCAGAAAAGGTATATCCCACCCCTAAAGATGACTAAGCCTCCCTTCAACTCTTTTGAAAAGTATTAGTGAATGCTTTCAAAATCCAACAAAAATTCTCATTTTATTAAGTAAAACACTCTATGAAAGACCACAACAGCAAACCAACAAATACTCTTACAACAAATATTTGCTGCATAATACTGAAAAATCATCCCTTTCCCAAGGAAATTGGATCAGTAAGCTAGGATCTGCAAGCCAAATCTCTTATACCAGCTAGCTAGTTCTCTTCACAAAATCTCTCCCTGGCTCTCTGACTGCACATCTGTAAAAATAAGGAGCCGAGTGCATCTGGACAGCATATAACTACCCTAAAATATCAGACAGACCCCATTTCAAAGATCCCACTGATCACCAGCCTGCACATCCCTTATTTCCTGCTGGTAAGAGTTACATGCATGAGGAGTCAAGCTGCACAGCTGCCAGGCATCTAAACAGTTAAGTGCTGGCTCTGGTGAACATCTGTTTGAAGTTCACAGAAGACTGCTACTGTTGCATCAAGTGAAAGCTCACAAATGGTCTGACACTAGGTCAACTAAAAATTGTGGATATAGTTGAAGGAAAAGCTCTGTCTTCGGAGCTAATAACACCTACTTACCAAAACCATTCAATTTCTATTCATTTAACAAATTATATTCCCATCTCCCCGCTATCAATGTAACTCCTTTGATGTTGTGATACCTCTGTTTGTTGGTGACCTGAGTTACTGTGCACATGCTCCATACAATTTTTCTAATTGCTCAGTTTAATGATTAAAAAAACCCCAGATTTATAGCAGCATGAATGGGGCAGGGTACATCCCCATCTTTAAAATCTATGCTAGTGCTAGAGCCTCAGCACTAGCACTAGCAGCTGTGATCAATATCAGATTGTTTTCACTGCTGTCTATGTCAAAACACTGCCAGACCTGAGATTTCCGCAAAGGTGCATGAGGTCACCAGTAACTTGCTAAAAGGTAGCATTTCCTGGCAAACTCAAAGATCAGGCAAGACATAGTAGATTTCAGGCATTTTATTTATGTGAATATTATGCATGCTTGGTCATATAAAAGGCAAGATCTTTGGATCTGGGCCCTGCTTTCAGAGTGACCAAACACAACAGTAGCCTAGATAAAGAAAGAGGAGGTGGAAGCAGGACTGAGAACGGACCCTGCCAGAATAGTTTTAGGACAAGGAGCAATCAGCCTTAGAAGAAGGACCAACCGTTTTTTCCTCAGTCAAAGCCAAATATCCATCTGTTAAACCAGAGCAGGCTTTTGAAGAGAGATTTTTTTTTTTAGATCACAGTCTCCACCTGTATAAGATTTAACTCATCCACACCCCTGCAGTACATGTTTGCTGCTTGAATATTTTAGACATTCATGAGTGTCACCTGTACTGCTTAAGAAACAGATTTTCAATTAAACTACCACTTCTAATAGGAAGTAGGAGCTGCTCCACAGAATTTGTAAATTACAACACTTGTATGCATTAACTGCTGTTTTCTCCACACAGAAATCATTCAAAAAAGATAAGAAATTCATGGATTTTCCAGAGGCTATTTGCCTCTGGAAAGCACATTGGTCTAGCCAAAAGAAGTTGAGCCACTACTCAGTAATTTATACCTGTGCTTTTAAAAACGTTTAGGCATTATAAAGATGTTACTATCAGGTATACAACAACAAAACCAGAACATTGTAAAGGATAACTAAGGCGTGCTTTGAGCTCCTTAGATCACATTTGGATGCATAACTGGAAATACCATGCAGAAAAAGTAATGCACTTATGCATTCTTCCAAAACTGTAGGTAACCGGACCATGCATTTTGCTGAGATGCCAACATTGGCTCATCATTTAAGTGATGATGACCAGTCTTGAGAGGATCATAAACAGCTCTCACACTCCACATTTTTAGCTCACACAACAATCTCCTGGATGCGTTTTAACTTATTGTACAAAGTAGCCATATGGAATCCTTGACACTTTTGGAGAAATCACAAGTGAAGACACTGTCATATGCTTTGCACAAGGTGCTCTAAGGTAATAAGGAGGCAAAGAGACCCATGAAACAGTCCAGCTGTAAAAAGCCTTCTTCTGTTTAGTCAGTCCTTTACATCAGATATGTTACATCTACTCAACACCAGTCACTGACAGGACAAGTTGCTTCACACTGCCTTTCTATATGCCACTGTTTGTCCCGTCAGAGAGGCTTCTCAAAAATCAATATACCGAAAACAAAACCAAAAGAAGCCACATTACCTTCCATCAGAAAGCTTCTTAAGTGTGTTAAAGCGTATCAATAACCATCAAACATGCAGGTATTTTTGAAAATCAAAAGAAGAGTTTGATATGTTCAAATTCTTATGTTTAGAGACACATTTGTATGCATTCCTATATACATATACAACATCTACACACATAATTGTGTGTGAGAGAGGAAGAGAGGGAGTATGTGCTATCTACCATTTATTCAGCAAATAAGTCAGTCAGTGTTAGGAATTGCGTGACACTTACTGATAATGCTGTGTGGTCATGTATTACCCACTGTCAACCCACACACAGCTCTTATTTCCTGATCTCAGAAGGATTTTGATAAAACTACCAATGTTTTATCTAACTCCTTCCCTTACAATTGCCAACCAAAAGGTGTGCTTTTCTTTAGCATATTGAATAATTTCCCTATGCATATAGTGAAATTTCTCAGTAGTTTCACAGTATATTGGGCTCAGCTGCCCAATCACAACACTTGCAGTAGCATATTATCACAGCAGTGGTGAAGCCAGTGGAGCAACAATAATGTACATAATTCAACAATTTTTTGCTGAACCTTAAAACTGGAGTATATCCTAGATCTGGTTTAGTGAAAGCTCTCCATTTCTAAAAATCAGCTGAAGTTTCGGCTCTGACTCCTGATTAATGGATTCCAATAGAGAACAAACACTTTAATTCACCCAAAAGATTCTGTAAGTGCTGGGAATGTTTGTCTTTCATAGTCAGATCTAACCTCCAGGGTCAGCAGAACAAGAACCTGCCTTTCATATGCATGAGGCAGCACGTGTGTGTGTCCCTCGAATTCCTGCATAATAAGAACCAGTGACTGGCCCAAGGGGAAAAAGGAAAAAAAGAAAAGGAAAAAAAAGCCAACCAAAATTGACTCCTTTCTCCATACCCCATGTTTTTTCCCTTCTTTCTTAGCATTGCTCAGAGCAAGTACCACAGTCAAGTGGAGATACCAGCTGATTGTCCAGTAAGCTTCCCCTGGCCAGGAGAGAGCAGCACCAAGGAGAAGGAAAGAAATGAGAACAGGAGTAAGAAGGGATGTGAAAGGTGATAGCATGCAATAGGAATAACTCAAGCACAAAGGTTAATCACATATTTGTCAACATCCATCTGTGACACACCAGTAACTATGGATCCAACACTAGTTTTACCATACATATTCCAAACAACTCACCTTTACTCATCCGTCCCATTACTGTAAATTCAAAATGCTTGCTGTTGTCAGCTGATGAATACAGGCCAAAAACAGTGGCTGTGCTCTTTGGCTGCAGTTTGAAGGTTGAGAGCAAGTACACTTCATTCAGTGTAGGATCCCCAAATGCTTGTTGCAAGAAGTTTGGCACCACTCTTTTGTCGGAATATGGAAGAAGATCAAAAACTGGGGAAAAAAAAAAAGAAGCAAATTTGAACAGCAATTTAAATATAATAATGAACAAAGAAGAATGTGGTCTGAAGCCACTCACTGGAGACCATACACTCTTTGCTATTTTCATACAGACACTCTGACCTACCTAAATTAGTATAAACCAAAAAATTAATAGGATGATCAAGTCTAAAGATTATGTAGTTCAACTCCTGGCTCTGGAAGGGATATCTTAAGCAACCTGGTTGCTCCCTGCACATGGCAGTGAGTTTGGACTAGATGGCCTTTAAAGGTCCCT